GTAAAAAACTGAAATTGAATTGAAAAAAAAATAATGCAACGGGTTGCACGGATTATTGGTTTGGTTTTTGGATTTTCTATGCATTTCGATTCGGTCCATGTAGAAATGCACCAACATATTCGGTTCATGCAGAAATGTCCTTAATCTTTGTGTTCAAGTAGGTTATCATGCTTTAAAAGAGTCAGTCACGCCTATTAGGAATGTCGTTACTTATATCGTCGTCCGCAAGAAATGAAAAAATGGGCAATGTTTTGTAAAGAACAGGGTTTTACACCTAAAAAATTTCAACCAGACGTTCCTAACCATTGGAGCCCACAAAATGTTAATGAAAAGTATGAATTTGCAGCACAATTAGAGGATTTTTTTCATAGTCCTCAACGTAAGGATTGTGATGTCACCGTTGGTATCATTGATTCGTTAAATTGTCAAACACTTTTAAAATTTGTAGAAACATTTAAAAGTGCTACTAACGTACTTTATGGTCTTTATTATCCTACTGCCCAAGTACAGCCTTAATGTGGGGTTTTAAAGATATTTTTGTTAGTGATCCTGATAAACATGACGAACTTGTAAGAGATATGTTAAGAAAATAGTTAAAATATTATTTTTTTATTTTCGATACATTTTTAGTTTAATCTTTGTTAGATCCATCATTACGTGAAAATGGCTTCATCAAATAACTTCATGCATATTATGATATTGTCTATCGACTCCCGCTTCCCACTGATATCCTGACTATAAGTGTAAGATCTAACCCGCGACAACTTGTCGAGCAAGCAAAAATTTTATTGTATGAATTGTTTAGAGAAACAACAATCAGACACGGGAAAAATTCGGTGCCATTTTCTTTTAATGCTTCACGGTCTTCTTCTTATGGATAATGGAGACAAAAGACGCAACAAGCCGAAAACATTGGTGACTGGTGGGAAAATAATTAATCCCTTCAAAATACTAATATGCAAAGGGCAAAGGGGACTAGAATTAGTGAGCGATCACTATCTCACGACGAACTTGATATCTACGATTGCTAGTGAACCAGTGCAGCCACAAAAGTTTGGTGTATTGGATTGGTGGTCAAAGATGACTCCATTTGTCCCATTCCACGCTTGATGGCTAAGGAGATATTCACTGTCCCGACCTCAACAACGTCGGTTGAACAAGCATTCAGCAAGGGAGGACCTACATTGGACGAACGACGGTCGAGGCTGACGCCACAAAATTTGGAATTTCAAATGTTGCTGAGTGATTGAAAGAAGGCTGGAATGAGGGCACAAACGACCATGCTAACTGTCGAAGATGATGAAGCAGATGAGACATCCGATTTCACTAATACTGCTAGTACTAGTGAAACCACAGGAAATGAAGAGAACTACGAGACCTACGATTACGATTACTACACTGTCGGTTCAATCTTGCCATCTACTTTCATCAAGGTAAGTAAAGTAAGAGAACTATGAGGATTTTGATTTTACAAGTTAAAATATTATTTTTTAACTCAAAAGTTTCTTCAACATAATTGATATTTAACTTGTAATATGTCAACTAAGTAAGTCCAATTCTTTAAAATCCACCTTCCTCCCTAATTTTTTTAAAATGAAAACCGACCTGGGCCAGAATCGATTGAACTTGGCCATAACCGGATTGAACCGGTTGCGAACCGGCGGTTCACTAACCGGGCCCGAACCGCCAGTTTAATGGACCAGTTTGTGCTTATGTTCGGGCCGGTTCAGGTTCCTCCAAACTCCAACCATGACCACAACCGAGGGTTGACCACATCTGCTACCGACATTTAGGGATTTGGGGGATGAATTATGCTAGAAAAAAATTTCAGTTTTATACTAAGAAATGGGCTTAAGTTTGGGGATTCTACTTTATTGAAGTGAGATGTTTTTAAACATCAAACCTTTCCAATTAAATTGGAGATAATTTTGCCCCATTAAGTATCATGAGATGCATTGATCACTAATTCGAAGCAATTAGTCAACATAAACAAATCAGAGCAATGATGTAATAATAAAATAATAAATAATAACAAAAGGAGAGAGTGGGAAAGGGCATATATAAGAGAGCCCGTCATTCGTGAAGTCATCAAAATACTCGTGGGTCTTTTGCTATAGATAATAATATTTATTTTTCTAGAAAGTTTGTTAGAGAGGTTAGTTAGACTAATGTAAAACGCGGTACAAATATATATACTTGTATTCAAAGTACTAATGTAAAACGCGGTACAAATATATATTCAGTAGAAGATTTGTCAACTGAAGGAAACTGTTGGTCTACTAAGACGAGTAAGAGTTGATTTTTTATTTTTATTTATCTAAAGTCAAGAGTTAATGAACTACGTGCTTTTGCAAGTTTATGAGGATCCATTAGTTCAACGTTAATTAGATCACGCAATCAGTTGTGAACCTAGATTTTTATTTGTAGCTCAGTTGTAACTACTAGCAATTTAATTAATTCTATTGTGAAGGGACAGGACCGAACCTAATTCAAAAGGGGCATTAAGGTAAATAGCATGATAATGTAAAGCAATAATTTAATAATGTATGAAATTATATTAAAAGCTATAAAATTAATTGTTCCTAGTATTATAACCAAAGTTGTCAAAACAGGACCGGTCATCGAACCGGTCGACCTACTGGTTCAATGGTTTACTGGTCCGACCAGTAGTTGAACCGTTATTTAATTTATTGATATTTTTAAATATATATATATATATAATATTTCATAGATATAGTTAAATTAATTTTTAAGTTATTTAAATTATTGATATTTTAAATATATAATACTATAAATATTAAATATAGTTGGCTTATTTTTTAAAAGGTTGGTCCCACCATATATAGATTAAGCAATAAAAAAAAAAAAGAACGGTTGAACCAACCGGTTTTTTGAGGTTTTGGCCGGTTCGACCGGTCATTGATCGGTTTTTGACCGGTTTTGGCCACAACCGGTTTCTTCCATTGAACCGGACCGGTTAACTGGCCGGTTCCCGGTTCAACCGGTTGGATCGGCCGGTCCGGTCCGATTTTGACAACTATGATTATAACACTTGTTCTCGTCAAGTTTTCTATGTTACGGAATCCACTACGACAGCATATGTCTATGTTGACTTTATAAAACAAACGTTCATGTAAATAAGTAACCAAACCATCATTTAACAATTAAATAAACGAGCAGAGTCGAGCTCGACTCGTAAATAAACAAGCCAGAAATCGAGCTTGAGTTGGCTCATTTATCACTATTAACGAGCTGATATAGAAAATTACATTAACATTATTTTTTCGAACTGAAAATGAGCTTTAAATGAACTCGAATTTAGTTCCTTAAGTTCTCGAGCTAGAGCCGAACTCGAAATTTAACGAGTTGAGCTCAAGCCGAGCCGAGCCGAGCTGAACCAAATTTGTTTAATTTAACAACACTACCACTTTACTAATAGTAAAAGTATTCATACGTACATGCACTTCAAAATTAAAATACAAATTAATTGCAGCACGCCTCTTGCAAAAGTAAACAAATAATTAGGTCATTTGTGCCCCCCAAATTAAAGAAAATGATAAAATTATTTTTTGAAAATTTTTATGACGTGAAATAGAAATTATACTATAAGAGCTTTCATTGCTGATATTCAATGCATGCATATGGAACCAAATTAAGTCTAACAAAAAAAATTAATCTAAATATATCTCGACTTTCTGTCTTTCTACCCGAGTTAATCAGCTTCAAACACTCATAAACCACTTTCTTGTTTCTCAAGATTGGACTCATTTAATTATTTCTTCACTAACTAAAAAAATTCAGACTTTAATTTTCCGGAATTCACATTCACAACCTCAATCTCACGAAGGATATAAATCAATATACACGTGATCATGTACATAAAGTAATTAACAAATGTATAGTATTACAAATCCATGAATATTTCCCATATCCTACATAAAAATAAAAAAATAAAATAAAATAAACAAATCATGTTTGATCCAAAATCCAAATCAAAGTTGGGTGATCGCTTTAATGAAATCAATCAAATCCATCACCAGCAAAACGAATCAACCTTGCCAAAAACAAACTTGTTCTCCAATGGAGTCAAGTTCAAATCCAGGCACAAAACCCTCTTGTTGTTATTCGCCATTACTAATTTCTTCACAAAGTGAGCTTCACCGGCATTATTAGGGCTCGTCCGGTGTCTCCTCATGTGGCCCCCGAGCGCTTGGCCCAACGGGAAATCGAGCCCACAAATCGAGCACTCGTGGGTCTTCGGCTTTGGCGGAGATGGCGGTGGAATATGAAGCACGTGGGCCCCACCTTCCAAGAGTCTCGGTTTTTTGTGGCTTGCTCGGTGGCCGCCTAAGGCTTGAAAGGACGTGAACTTCCGATTGCACGTTTTGCACGTGAATACTCGATTTGTGGTACTAGAGTCGGCTCGTTGCCCGGCGCTCGATAATAGCATCAAATAGTTGGCCATGATTGTTATGTCCTTATTCTCCTCCTCTCCTCCTCTTTCTCTTTTCATCATGGTGTTTAGTTAGGATTGGTAATGAGATTAATAATGTGATTAATAATGTGATTAATTAGTAAAGCAAGTGATGAATGGTTTTTGTGTTTTGAGTGATGAGAAAGGGACTCAAGAAAGAGGGGGTTATATATAAAGGTTTTTCTTTGAAAGTTGGTCATGAGTTTGACTTTATGTGAATGTTGACTTTGGGCAAGTGGAAGTGGAAATGAGACTGGGCAATCAAAGTCGAACAAATGGAACGTACTTGTTCAAATCGTGTTTTGCTCAAAACCTTTTTTCTTTCTCTTTGTAGTAAAATTGAGGATTTATTAATAATTTTCTAGTGAAGGAATAAGATTGTCAGATTTCTTCTATTTTAATCTTTTAATAAAAGTACATTCTTGATGAACAATTAAGTGTGGCGTAAGCAGAATTACGAAGCTTCTGCTATATCTTATTATACGTATGGTTTATTCATACCCAACAACTCCATTAATCTTTAATTTACTTCTAACTTTCATCTTGTAATTTATACGTAAGAGTACTCTAAACTACAATATTAGATTCAGAATATAAGCCTAGTTACGTTTGATAATTAATCAGATTAGACCTATATTTCAAGTCGATGAGTTTTTAGTACATTTAACTTAAAATAGTATATATGTTTTCCTTACAATAAGAAAATTTAAAATCCGAAAAAGAATGTGAGTGTATTTAGTTATAAAGATGATAAAAGTTGGTTATAAATAAGAAAATCTAGAAATTTCGGATAAATGAGATATTATATAAGTACATTCAATTTGATTTCTGATAAAACGAAACTAAAAGAAAAAAAGAAAGAAAGAAAAGTCCCATATATCCGGCTCTTTATTATTTTCTTTCTTCTAATAGAACGTTCTAAGATAAAGCTGTTCCTTTTAGATTTAAATTCTTGTTAAGAAAATTAAAATTAATGGAGTAAAGTTATATAGGTAAGCCAAAAAAGAAACAGTCAAAACTATATTTATTTTATATGAGTACATACAATGATACTAAGATGAGTTGTGACTTATGAGCGTAAATAATAGAAAATAAGGATGCAATAAAATCAAGTGTGAAATAGGAAGCTACTCAAACAAGTGAAACGTCATTGCAAACGTAAGCATGACGACCGTGAAGCTTGATTGATTAGCTTAGGTAACAAGAAAAGCAAAAGTAGAATTTTTTGAGAAACTTCCCACCACACTTTGACTCGGCTGTAAAAGTGTATCTACTCTCTAGTAAAAGATATTACGGCATGTGTAAAATTTTATATATCTCCAATCTCTGATTGTCAGCAGGAAAAAGGATGGTTTGTTGGATTCAAGTGGTTGATAACATCATTTAAGTTGAATTTAAGGTTATGTTTGATAAAATTAGCTGATAGTTGATAAGCTAGTTTATAGTTTATTTGTAATTTTTTAGCTTATAGCTTATAGCTTATGACTTATAGCTGAAAAGCTAGCTTATATGATAAAAGTGTTTGGTAAAATTAGCTGATAAGCTAGCTGAAATAAAAAATTCAACTAGCTTATTTGAAAAGCTACCTAAAGTAGCTTATAAGATAAGCTCGAGCTTTTTTAAAAAGTTCGTCCTACCAAACGAGGCTTATTTGAATACAGGGAGCTTATAAGAGCATCTTCAATGCATTGGGTCTAGTCTTGCCTATGTGGCAAGTAAATAAACCCAAGTCTTAGATGACGTGGATAAAATTATGTAAAATTAATAAAATTCACTCCAATGCAAAGAGACTAGGTCTCTACTTGGGTCTAAAATGGACTTAAGGGGAGACCGGGTCTCTTTTTCTGGCTGCCACATCAGCAGGACCCAATCTACTTTTATTTGCATTGGAGAATATATTTTTTTGGACTGTGTCTGTTTCTTATGTGGCATGTAATTTTTTGGGATTGAACCCAAAGCATTGTAGATGCTCTAAGCTAATCAAATAAGCTATAAGTTAGCTTATATGGCTTACCAAACACAGCCTAAGTCTTACACCGTAAATGGCCCAAATGATCATTTGTGTGAGGGTTTAACAGGGGTGGGCAAAAAACTGAATTTCCCGCACCGAGCTGGACCGCAATGGTCCCGTTCCGAAAAATAAGGTTCCGAAAGGTTCTCTTTATTTTTGTCTCGTTATCGGTACCGGACCTTTTTAAACAATGCCGGTATCGATTTTGAATATTTTTGTCCTGAACCGTCCTGTTCCTTTTTTTTTTCGTACAAAATACTATATATGTTATACATTATTATTATATTTTATATTAATATTATAGTACAAATTACATAATTAACAATATATGTCATTTTGGTATTCAATCTATAATAGCATTCTAATTTTGTAATATAATATATAAAAAATAAAAGCTCAATTATCCAAGCCAAAACTAAACAATGAAGCCAAAAAAAAAGAAAAAACTAAACAATTCACTTGGTAATTTGGTTTTAAACACAATGTTTATTTTAAATCTTAAATGTTGGTGAGTGGTGACTTAAATTTAATGGATTGGTATGTTACTTACAATGAAATCAATACACTTTTGTAATTTGGTCTAAGTGAATACTTGAATCGGTGTATTTGTTTTAATCGAAATTATGGAATCAATATGTTAGTTGTTTGTTTTAAATTTTAATAGAATCAATACTTTTTGGTTTAGTTTATATGTTTGCCCCGGTCTCAAACGATACCGGTCCATTTGGGACGGTGCCTCATCCCGGACCGGTTCATAAAAGTGGGATCGGTACAGGGACAAGTCAAATCTCGGACCGTCTCGGACCGCGCCCACCCCTAGGGTTTAACGAGTTGAACAAATGGCTATTTGTGTGAGGGTTTTAGTTACTCGAGTCGAGCCAAGGTGTTTGTCTCTCCAGCCATTTTATTGTTCGACTCGACTTGTAGACGTAGCTCTACACTCTTGGTATTAGCGGTGAGCAAAACTGAGCCAAACCAAAAAACCAAGCTGAACTGAGCAATTCGGTGCAGTTTTGTTTGATTTTTTTAATGTAAAAAATTTTCGATGCGGTTTCGATTCGGTTTTTTCCTACATTGGTGCGGTGTAGTCATAGTTTTTCATAAGTTTGGTTTTTAGTTTTGTTCGGTTCGGTGTGTTTTTGCACCGAACTGCACCAAATTGAATAAAATGTACAGAAAAACCGAGATAAAACCGAAAACCGAGTCGAACCGTGCATTTCAGTGTAGTTAAGTTTGCTTATTTTAGTGTAAATAAAATCGTTTCAGTTTCGATTCCGTTTTTTCTAAGTTATGGTGCGGTTCGGTTATTTATTTATTTTTTTTCTAGGTTCAGTATTCGGTTTTTCACCGAACTGCACCATTACTCACCCCTACTTGTAGTCAATTATTATTTAGTTTACTAGTCAACTATTATTTAGTTTACTGTTCATTTATCTACTACTTTTCGAACATAGTACTCGTTGAATTTCCATTAAAGACCCAAGAAATGATTTGATCAAACAAACACTGGACATTCCTATAACAGACCAAATGAACATTATATGAAAAAGGCAACAAACTATCAATGCATGAAAATGCAATTCCCAGTTTCATTATTTTCTTAGTTGAATGTTCGATTGATGTGCATTATGTTTTAACATAATATACATCGACATTACAGTCAAAAAGTAAGGAGTATATGTTAAAACATAACGATAACTCAATGAAAAAGAAAAACTTGAATAAAAATAATCTCGCTCTCTCTCTCTATTCCCCCTCTCTGCCTGTGCACAGTTAGTTAAGGCTAAGGACAAATAAATAGTCTCTAAAGAACTCTAGGATTTGCAGACAAAAATGAAGATTACTCAACCTCGACCGGTGGACCCCAGTGGCAGTTCTAAGTCGAATTGAGAGAACACTCAAGACCTGTTAAAGAAGAGGCAAATGTAGAGGAACTTTATACGCTGTCGAGCAAAGCTCAGCTTCTCACATATGAAATTACCACACACTCCAGATAAATCCTGTGCCTTGCAATAGGATCTGGTTTCTCGGACTCCGAAAAGCTTCCTAACATACTGAGCTTCCTTTGTAGGTTACCCGAGCTAAGTTACTTTAGGTTACTGGGCCTATATCCTCACACTTTTACTTTTGGGCTACATATTACACACATAAAATCCCTAATGTTAAAGTCCAGCTCAAAATTTCACTCTCAAGTAAAGTCCTACAACAACTCCCACCATTTGGAGCACAATCAATGTTTCTTCATGTAGGAGGAAAATCTCGCATCTGATTTAGTTTTAGTGCCTGTGATGACTCTAATACCCACCGTTGGACTCCACAAGCTTTGATCTATCCATTAAGATATCACCTTTCTTTTTGCTTTTGAGCTCATGCCAAAGACCTCAAACTAGTGGATATAAGAATGTAACTATAACTATAACTATAAAAACACCACATGTCTCGAAACAACTTATTTCTTGATCCTTGGCCACTCTTCAGCCTTGTTCTTGGGCCCAGCAATATGTATTCATAAGTAGAGCAACCTAACTTTCATTGTTTCGTATAACATGAAATTTCAGATTCCTCCATGTAAGATCAATTTGGAGCTTCGAAAAGTTTATCCAATTTTGATCTGAAGCTTCAATAGAAAAAGGCATGGCTCTAGGCTGTCCTCTAAACACTAAAGCTTCATTACAGTTGCTGCAAGCATGTTGTGTGCACTATCGATTTAAAATGGACAACTAACTGGAGAAAGCGCTATTAGTCAGGGTCTTTCACTTTTCCAACTAGATTAATATCCAAGAAAATCAAATTTCACGTCTTTGGCCCGGAGAAAAACAATTAAAATAAATCTACACCATAACATGCACATAAACACACAGACATTATCACAATTGATCGGATTTCAAGAATTGCCCTGCTATGGTTTGCACCCCACAACATAAACCATCAAAACTACACCACATATCATATCTCATTTCATTTCCGGGTGAACCCAAATTTACAAATTCAGCAGAATCTGTTTAAAAACTAGGCATTCTTAGACCCAAGCCAACAGAATCAATTCCCAAAATATTTTAGGCATCCAGCAATATCATAAATGTTCCATAAACTGAGCTAATTGAAGAACTAAAAATAACAAAAAGTATTACTGATTCTGGGCAGCTTCGTCGGAATCCACTTGCTGATTATCGTTCCCAAACTTCTGCTTGAAGGAATCTTGCCTTTGCAGCCACATCATATGCCCCTGCAAGTTCAACACACAACGTTCAAACAAATGAAAAGGCACACAAATTTGCCCTTTTCTCCTTCTTTCTTTCTTTATTTCCTATTCTAGCATATAATTTGACAGAAACCTGTAGAGCAGCGGCCCAGGTAATGAGGAAAGAGGCGAACCAGAATCTTTTGTCTTTCAGCAGCTGCTGCACTTGGAGTTTTCTAGTTTCCATATCGGCCGACGGGAACTACCTCAAACCCAACAAAAGTCGATTCCCTAGAAATATTGGGCGTGGTTTTGGGACGGAACTCGGTGAGGGTCGGTGAGTAAAACCAAACCAGAGTGAAATATAAATTAGGGGCTTTTTGAATTTTTAATTATTTATTTTTAAGGATTGTAAATATTTTAAGAATATTAATTTATTCCAATTTGATTATATGATACTATATTTCCTTAAAAATCTAAAATTGTTTTTATAAAAATTATGAGATATTTTAATTTATTTATTTGTATTTGTTGGGACTTCCTAAAATAAACCGAGATTTACAAAATCGGTCTTCGCTCTTATATATAATTTCCGAATATGCTGACTTAAGTTGCAGACTCGTGTGTTTTATATGAACACATGTTGAAGTTTGGTTTTGACTATTAGACTTGGAATTACCATAAACTATTGTAACTTCCCTTTTTTCTTAAGTCACCATATACTACTCTTACTTTTTTACAGCACTGTCAAAACGGGCCATGGCCCGCGGGCTGGCCCGTCCGTCCGCCTAAATGGACGGGCTTGGGCCTTTGTTTGGCCAGCCCGTTCAATCGCGGGCCTATTTGGCTGGCCCCATTTGGCCCGCAGTCTAAAGCGGGCTGGGGCGGGCTGGCCCGCGGTCCAGCCCGTTTTTTTTTTATTTATTTGTTAATTTTATATTATTTAAATTTAATATTTCTTATTTCATGTGCATTTTGTTGGAGTTTGTTTTTATCGTCTTTTTTTTTCTTCTTCTTCTTCTTCCATATTTATCTATTTTATATTTTTTAAAATTTGACAATGATATTAAGATTTGTGAATGCACATGAAACACTTTTATACATAATGAAAATATTAATGAATCAAATAATATTTTATGTGAATTAAGTCTCTCCTCCGCGCAATACACTATAACTATTCATAAACAAAATAAAAATAAAAACGGGATGACAAATATTTTTATTTTTTTTTGGTACAATGGATGACAAATATTTAACATCATTATACATGAAGCCTTACTAGTTTATTAATATACTAGTAAATATAAGGATAAATAAACCAAAAAGTATATAAGGGTGCATAATACTAAAAAACCCCGCGGGCGGGCCGATTTGGCCCGCAGGCTAATGAGGGCGGGCCACGGGTCATGAATATCCCAGCCCGTAGAAATGCGGGCCATTTTGGCCCGCCCTGTTTGAACCGCAGGCCAGCGCAGGCCGGAGCGGGCCGGACCGGACCGGCCCGTTTGACACTGCTACTTTTTTATATATAATATAAATATGTATTCTTCTCATTTAAGACTTTATAACTTTTTATTTGTGTTTTATTTTTTATATATGATCTATAAAATAATCATATTTTAACGATTTTCGATTTTACATTCATATTACATATATAAAACAAATATATTTCATCTATATTTATAAAATAAAATTAATTTTATTATCAATTCAATTTAAAATACATCAAATAAAAATATAAATTATTTTGTAAAAAAAATATAAATCATTTTATTGTTTTTTCCATAAATTTTGCAAAAAAATAAAAATTAAGTATTACATAAAACAAATTTTAAGAAATATTATAAAATGTTATTTCTCAATTTAAATAGATTACCAAAAATTGGATGTTATTATGTTATAATTAAAATAGTAAATATAAAAGAATATCATAATTAAATATAATTAGATAATTTTGTATTTCATAAAGTTAGAAAATAATACATTTATACGTCAAGAGGAAGCAAATCTCATTGGAGTTAGATGGGTGCTTGAGGAAGTTGTCAAAGCCGGTTGGAAGGAGATTGTTTGCTGCTCGAGTGACAGAGGAGTAGTGCATAAGTTGAATTCTTCTTGTTTTTTTGCTTCTTCTTGACTTTCTGTTTGTGCTGATATTGAGGACTTGAAAAACCAGTTTGTATATTGTTCTTCTTCTTCTCTATTTCTTCTTCTAGTTCTTCTTTTTAGTTGGACTTAGGCCGTAGAGGGAGAACGTTATTGTGTTGCTCCGGTTATGTTCTTCCTATCTAGTTTGGGTAGGGTAGGACTGTTGTATAACTAGTTGATTATTCGTTTGTATATTTTTTAGCTAGTAATATAATTTGTGCGTTTGGAAATTAACAAAT